CCGTGTTATACAAGCATCGAAGTAAGCATTATAGTTACATTTTTGGCAACACTAACTGCAACTGTAACTAGTTGCATTTTTAAAAGAAACTTTCCTATCCCTGTTTCCCACACGGGACTGAGCCCCCCCCCCCCCCTCCTCCCCTCAAAATTAAAAAATAAGGGTTTTCCTTAGATATTGGGTACTTCCCGTTGGGGTTACTGGTCAGAATAGAAACCGCGGGTACCAACATTTGTGACCTTTGAGGCCGAAGTCCCCTAAACGACTCGGCCTTAGGTGCGTCACAGCATAAAATTGTTTCGTGAGACATCGCAAAGCCTGTTACGCGAAACGTGGTATGGTGTACATCTACCTACTTCAACTTCATAGTAGAATAGTGTCAATGTCAGTTTCCTGACGAGGTTAACCACGGCACTCCAGATCTCTCCAACTGCGACCTGTGGTATAACGACGGATGCAGCCGTTCGAGCATGGACAAGAGTGCACACATCGAAAACCAATAGGCTTCTGCTATGAAACAGTTGACTAACTTTTTATTTTCAATCTCATTGCAGGAAACAAAAAGGGCGATTTTTCCTTCGGACCGGAAGTAGTTCTCCATTTGGACTCGGGAAAGCCGGTCTGTTGCCAAAGTAACGTCGAGTTTAACAGGACCAAAATTTTGGAACCAACAATTAGAATTAATGTCAGTAATGATCCAACGTCAAAAGTTTAAATGAAAAACGAAATTATTGTAAAGTTTGTGGTACCTGAACTTCTAGCGGTGACGTGCACAAGAGCGAACTGTCACAAGCGCGACCCGTCGTAAGCGCGAATGCCGCAAGCGCGACCCGGCGCAAGCGCGAACGCGGCATGAGCGAACGACCGCAAGCGCGAAGTGTCGGAAGCGCGACCCGCCACAAGAGCGAACCTCGCGAGGCGCAGCTTACGCGCAAGCGGCTTGCCACGGCTAGACGGACGAGATCGACGGGGGGATGGAGTAGGATAGCGAGTCGCGGGCGCGAGTCATGAGTCTCCTATCGGAAGCGCGACCCGACACAAGAGCGACCCTTGCTTACGGGCAAGCAGCTTTAGGCTTCCCATGAAAAGAATAGTGCACCTCAATAGAGCTAATAAGGATCAAATGGCTCCCCGTCAGCTTCGGTACGACTTCGGCACGACTTCGGCACGACTTCGGCACGACTTCGGCACCCGCAGGATCTCACCAGTCCTCGCGAGTCCTCGCGATTGTGTCCGCGAGGAAATTCGCAAAAGGACACCGCGAACCCCCGCGAAAAGATCCGCGATCACCGAAGGACACCCGCGAACGGGCCCGCGATCACTTAGAATACGACACCCACGACAGGAGACTCACGACTCGCGACCGCGACTTGCTATCCTACTCCATCCCCCAGCCACAGGTGCCGAAGTCGAAGCGAAGCCATTGGATTGGACCTCTATTAGCCCCTTTGAGCAGCACTAGTCTTTTGCTGGGAAGACTATTGTCACAGCGAGACGGGCGAGATCGAGGCGTAGGTCGAGAGGGCCTCGCAGTCGTGTATGAGGGATTTGGAGGAACTGTGCAGGGACATTCATGTTATGAACGTTTTACCAATACAAGTACACGTAACATAGTCAGCAAACCGATGTCAAGGCTGGTCACGGTTTAGCAGCAGCAGAACATAA